ATTTCATTTAGTGTTTAATGTGTTCCATATGTGTTTGATCCAGTGACCGGGGTAATAATGTGAAGCGCTTAGAGGCTTTGTTAAGGCATTAGGCGCTATATAAGAACGACATTATTATTATTATATAATAGAATTAACATAATATTCATTTTGAATGTAATGTACAGTAGTTGCAATTATATAGCACTTTATACTGAAGTCTCAAACGTTTGAAGTGTGGACTAACTCGTACAGCAACTTGCTTCCCCCTTAGAGGTCACTTAGTGTCCGAGCTACCCGGTAAACTGGTTCCAACTACTCTTGTATGTCCACAACAGAGGCTGTAATGTATGTACACCATATTCATCTCAAAATATGGTGCACATGAGCCAAATTGTGTACATGGAGCCTACGGTTTATAGTCCTTATCCGAGAAGACTTGTTCCACCACCAAAACCATAGGCGAGCGTCCTGTTCGAACCAGCGCTGATATTAAGGCAAAAGTGGTCTACAGGCAATTACTGTATTACCATTAATATCTTGATATTTGGGTCTTGACCTAATTTTTAAAAGGCAGCAGGTTTTAATGATTAACAGAAGTATTGACTTTTAGACCATCATGACAACAAAAGAAATTATAGGTGGAGTTTGGTGACCTCACTTCCTCCATTGATTATTTTATAGTTCATTATAAGTTCAGGTACAACACAGTGAATTTAAATTAATACTGTTGTTTCCCATAGACCATCTTGGATTTGCCATCTCGAATTTAAAAAAAAAAATAGAAAAAAAGTGCCCCCATTCTCTTTTTTCAAAATATTAGAACGAGAAACTACTTTTCTTTTTTTACGTGGCCTTACGAGCACTGGAAGCTGAATACATGCTCTATAGGTGTTTGATCAAACTTGTTGATAATAATGTGAAGCACAGGCCTTAACAATTTATATTATGCACTATATAAAAGTAGTAATATTTTCTATTGCGCATAATTCCTAACAAACCACAGACAACATGACACTAGCCTAGTAAATCTGAAAGTGGTTTTTTTACACACTTCCTTTTCTGGAGCTCCCAAAATATTGATCAACTATACTGTATAGTTTCCAAGGTTACCTTGTATTGTCCTATAATGTCACTATTTGTCCTATGGTATGTAATCAATTTAATACTTCAAGTCCCAATATGAAGTGCATTTGAAAGTGGAGAACAATTTCCTGATACTTGTAGTATTACTGGACCCAGAACACTGGTACAGGTAACAGCAGTCAGGAATATAAACCATCTTCAATACAAATGCCTAACAATGTAATTACTATATACATACATACTGTAGAGTACATACTTATGTGCTGAACATTATTATTACCAGCATCCATTATTCTTCAATCAGCTTTTAAAATAATCGAACCATCACAAAACTATATTTTGAAAACTGCAGAATAATCTTGATCATTTTGGATACTGGACACAATAATAGACTAACATTCAATCTCACATTATTAAACAAGGTCGATGATTTCATAGCATATTGTTTTAAGAACCAATCAAAAAATGTGCTAAGGCCCATAAGGAATAAAATGTACCCCACTTTGTGTTGGTGGAGTGGTATACGTGCTGTGCTAAGGGTACTCTAGAGGTATCCTGTTTTCTTTTGGAACTTTGTCAGAACTATAAACCACAATACAAACAATAAATTATGTCATCTAAGGATTCTGGGAACAAAGGTAAGTTGCTACTGTCTGGGTAGAGCTAATATTGAAAAAAAAAAAAATCAATATTGAATTGCATATTTAAATTTACTAGCTTTCAATTCAAGGTTAAGTCCCAGAAAATTATCCTCACTAAGCAACAGCTTCATAAACAAAATAAAAATTTATATTGTTGATAATATCTGGATCTTGGTGTAATATTATATATACTATAGAGTGCAGCTTAGCTCAGTCGGCTAATCTGGTGGTAGCCACTGTGTGTGTGCTGAACCGTGGAGATCTCTAGGTCTCCGGTTCTATTCCCATCGCGGTCTCTCCTTGTGTTTCAGCTGGAGGGCTGAAATACAAGTTACAATAGTGCACCGTCTTTCGGATGAGATGTTTAAGCCGTTGTTTCCTTGTGCACTTATGGCCCATGTGCATGTTAAAGAACGCAGTACACTCTTCGGAAAAGAGTAGGGGATTGTATCCCGGTGTACTGCCCAATCACCACCAGAAGGACTCCACTGGAAATAAGTCTTCTTCAAGACTTTCGTGGGCTATCCTTGGTGTTTACACCGAATAAATCCAATCCAATCCTATACCCACAAAAATTATTCTGTTTTTTTGCTCAATATAGGGTTTGCTTATGTCTAAAGAACTAAACGATTATTATATTTTATTAATTATTTTTAGCACTTACAGTATGTAAATTATTTCGCATACAGTATTTGAATAAGAGTATTGAAGCACCCATGTTGTTTCTGTGGAGGTGGTTTTTGGCGTAGTGGAAATGGTTTGGTTTCCCAACCTTGAGGTCGGGTTTCAATCCTTCGCTGTGCATTTCGCTTGAGTCCTTCAGCAGGGCATTTTATCTATAATGTTTCTGTCTACCCAGTTGTAAATGGGTACCAGCGAATTGCTGGGAGTAACCTGCAGTGGAGTGGCATTCCACCCGCTTCACGCTACTTGAAACTGGGGATAAGCTCCAGCCCTATATGAGCCTCGTGACTCGACAAGAATTTACTTACTATACATGTTGAATCTACCGTGGTATTTGAAAAAAATGCGAACAAGAATTAAACTACTATATAAATTATTTGGACATATTTCTTGAAATACATTTCTTCCTGTACCTGTTTATAAGATGATTGACGGATGTCACTACTCACTTATTAAATGTTCCAAAGACTCTTCCGCCACTAATGTTGAAGTGGAAGAGCTGTCATCATCCTCCTCTTCATCTTTTTCATTATTGCCATTACTTACAATATGCGACCAACTTGATTCCATTTTTAAATGCATTTAGCTGGTCTGGATGCATATTGGTCATGGATACAAATGTACATATAACCAACGTCAATGATGCACTTCAATTGGCACGGAATTTGGTCAAATTCATTGTAGTTCAACCGGCATGGTATTGATTATATACAGTAGCTTTGGTGAAACCGGTAGCTACGAAAAACAGCAGGCCTTCTCATTATGAGTACAGTACATATTTTAAAGCTGCTTTTCAATTGCAATTACAATATGGTTTAGCTCTAGGTAATGGTGAATAGCTACATATACTGTATATACCGGTAGCCATTAACATTCAATTAATTTGTTCATCACAATAGGATGATCCACTCAACAGAACAGGTAGTTTATTGACTACTTCCGTAACATGATACCTCCTATATTTCACAAATTATGCATCCTCTGTCAACAAGTCGGATGAAATCCAAATTCTTCATTTACGATTATTCAGAGTAAAACAAGCTGCAGGAAACACAATTGCGAGCTTATAATCAATGAAACAGCTTACCACCAGTTAAAATAAAATCCAGCACTGAAAAATACTATATAAATGCAGCTGGTATAACAGATCAGTCTTGGGTTAAAATACCTTATAACTCTGGTACTTCAGGTCGCATGGACACGAGCTGCAAAGGTTAAGACCGCTAATGCTCCAACCACCTTGCAACGAAGGCGAGATTGCTAAGTCACCACTTGTCCGCAGTGGTGTATGTGTTTATTGGTTATTGATTGGGCTTTACGATCTATGTATTAAGTTGCTTCATTGATGCGCAAACAATCACAATGGATAGTTGGACCATTCCATTCTCAAGTCCGACTCATACACACATTGGTTTATCAGATGGCTGCATTCAAATAATATGCTTTGATGAAGACATTTTGATATCAAAATAAAAAACATGTTGACAAAAGGAAAGAGACAAAGAAATGGTGGATGATACATTATCAAAATATAAATCAAATTTATAGTACATATTCTTTTTAATACAGGTCTACAGGACTTTATAATTTACAAAAGTAATAGAAATATCAGTTTAATCAGTTTACACATACTGTAGTGAAGTATTTACCATACCAGTCCATAGTTCCATGTTGTTTATGATGATTGACAGCTCATCCTCAGACGTTTTATCACGCTCGGCACTATTTACCACCACCAATTATTAGTAACATTAGGATCAAGCTTTTATCCTCAAATGTTTTTGTTATCGTTGTGGTTTTTGCGTTTCTTTTGTATTTTTGGCCATAAAATAAGCTTTGAATGGCCTTATGTTTACCATCATACTTTGCTATGCTTTTTTCCTCATATATTCTTGTTATTGTTGTTATTTGTCACTCATCACATATTATCGAGAAGTCAGTGCCTTAATGCCAAAGGGTATAAAAGGTTATGAATTATGTACATACAGTAGTATCATCTCTTTTTGTATTTTTTACTGCAAAATAAATTTAGTATGTATTTTTTTTAATGTTTACAACACTGTATACAATACTAACTATCCTTAAATATTGTTATTATTTATATGGAGTGCTTTTGTACTAAAATAAATGTTTTTCATATCACATTCTGCCTAGTTGGTTGGTTGCTAAATTGATATTCTTGATCTGTACATTTTGTGTATGCACTACTTGGCAACAAGCAGTTTCTACTGATTTGAAATTGGTTCTCAGTCAACATTAAAAATGATAGATGCAGGTAGGCTATCATAAGATGTGGCATTGAATATGTAATTATTACAATAAATGAATGAATAATGCGCTCAGAATATTATCCATGTATAAAAAGAAAATAAAAAGCTGTAGACAAGGGCTACAATTATTTGTATGTTTTACTATAAATTTATTTATTTTTATTAATGGTAATAAAATTAAAAGAAATATAAAATAAATAGAAAATATGCAAAAACACTATTACCATACAGTACTATTTCTTATGACTTAATTCTATATCACATCACTGTTATTGACAATTTCTGTTGAAAGGATTCATTTTAATAATTAGTAAAATGAATAAGATGATTCAGGAGATGATAATATCAGTGCCATCTTAATCTTAATATGGATTTTAGGTATTCACCACTCGAAGGCAATCATCACCTTTTCCTATTAGTATTAGTATGTCTATTACTATTATTAGAAACCTTGTTTTTAACTGTGAACAATAGAGGGCAGTATATATGTCATCTTCAATATGGAAATACTTTTTAATTTATTTTTTACAATATGTTTGTACAGTAATGCAATAAGAATCTATTAAATAAAAGCTAAATCTCGAAAAAATTATGTTATTTAAAATACCAAATAACACTCTGAATATCTAAATGTATTTAACATTTGTATACAATGAAAACTTTCCTTGATTAAAATTGTGGTTTATAGAAGTCTGATACTTAAAACACTGTACAAAGGTTAATGTTATTATTAACAGCATCAATAAAACAAAACCAACAGCAACAATAATGATAATAAAACTACAATAACAATATAATAATTATAATAATACAATTATTTTACATCATGTTAGTTGGGGTTCTAAGTTTAGTGTGTTGGTTTTGAAGTGAATAAAATTATTTATGAATGATTATAATGAAAATACAAATAACTAAAGAATATTGATACTATGAATATTATTACCATTAGTAGGGTATTATGATAATGATTAATGTTGTCAATATAAAGTTTGTAATAATTGATTATGTGAAGTCTCTTCCCATCATTAACAGTAGGCTATTTGGAAACACTTAGAATTAACAGAGCTTAAGTGAAATCCTGTCACATAGCAGATTTTAAAATGAATAGCTTGTTGTTTAGTCATTAGGTACTGCATAGTTATTATTACTAATCACTAAATGAGTCATATCCCAAATGACAAGAACTTTCCTGCGAAGCCGGCTGTAATTTTTTAGGAAGTATTTGGGATAGGCGATAAAAATATAATTCGCACAATATAACACACTTCTACCTTGTCTGCCTTCCTCATTAAAGGTCAATTTTTGACATAACATTGACACATGCATTTAACACTGATTGAATAAGAAATTTGATCTGCAATCTAACAGGTGAATCAGATATTTGGTATCTGTTTGTAATTAGACAATTACTGTAATTAACATTTATGTGATATAACAAATACATAGCAAGTTTTTATCTTATACAAAATCTAATCCGAGTTAATTATTTATTGCCAATAGACATTTGAACTAAACAAATCACTAGGATGATTTATTGACTAGAAAACTATTAATTTTTTAGAGATTTCCTGATTAACAAAAGTGCTTTTTACTCCGTATACTTAAAGGTTGAAATTACTGTACAGGGGCGGATCCAGGATTTAAAAGAAGGGGGTTCAAAATGTTTCCAAAAAACCCCAAAAAAGTAAAAAAGGGGGGTCCGAAAAAATTTTGATTCCTAGATGGCCGGAGATAAGCTTTCCCGACTTCTGAGGAGTCTTTAAATCATGACATTTAAGTTCTTCAAAATTCGAGGTTTTCCCCCTCTTGAAAAAAGGTCAGGTAATTTTATGTCATCATATCACAGAAGAAAAAAATTAAAAATCAAAGACAGGCAATATATTATTATATTCCAATAACATTGAGTATTTAGATATAGTCTTTCTTCCATGGATCAATGAACCGATAGGCCTGAAGAACGCACTTTCGTACATAAATTAATACGACGGCGAACCAAAAACAGTGTGTATAAGTTATTTAATTGACAACTAGTTGGGCTAAGCCTAGTTTGTCTGATCTTCCAACATATGCTTAGGTAGGTTAGCATGCCTTTTGTTAGCAAGGACCCATTTGTATTTTGTTACGTTTCTTCACAGAGGGGGTTCGTACAAACCCCCCTCCCCCCTGGATCTGCCACTGCTGTAGAGACAGGAAGCAACAGACTGAGATTTCTGTGGACATTGGAACCAATATGATTTCACCAAATTAATTTGGAGTGTATTTAGAATTAAACATACTGAACATACAAAGTCAACACACTTGGGAGAGGTTGGTCTGCAAGGTGGGCGAGGGGGAGGGAGCGTCCCTTTACCCCCCTGCTGGATCCGCTACTGAAACGAACGTGCAGCATTAAAAATTTGTCTTTTGATTGGTAACCCCTATAAAGTTAAATAGTTTTTTTTTATGGTGTAGGCCTACAGTACACCCATAGTATCTCAATTTTGTGTTTTTTGGGTATATACCCAAGGAACTATTGTCATAAAAAAATAGCACACTTACAAAAGTACTTGAGTGTCTCCTCCATCATCATAGGCGATAACAAGTCGTCATCCTCCAAAACTGCATCTGCATCTGCATCCAGGCCGCTACATGTCCCCAACCAGTCCACATGTCCGTACGTGTAATTGGACGTGGTGTCAGCACGTAGTCGATACAGTGGTATCTTCTCCTCCAGCAGGCTGATTATCTCAATCTCTGGGATGTCGGAATTATTATGTAGGTCTGAAAACATAAAGCCAATTTTATGTCAAACAGAAAATTATCGATGAAAAACCTTGAAGACTGGACTTTAAAACAACAAATCTTAAAGATTGCTTCCTCCAACCTAAACATCAAGAATATGATGCAAGGCACTATGGCTATTTCATCATTTATCAACTTGATTCGTTGGTTCAATATTCAGTACATTAAAGCCAATATCTGCACTGAGCATGACCAAATCTATGCCTTGATGGCGTCAATCCTAACATGCTGGTTATTTTAGCATTTATACCTCATAAAATTCATATAAAACATTATCACATCATTTGCATACTAAAAATAACTACCAATTATTATATAAATAGGTATTTCTTTCTCTGATGGTTGATGAAAATGCCATAAACTTAAAATTCAGTTCAAAGGTTACAAACACAGTGTGAACTCATTGATTGGTTAACAACATGCAATAATGGTTTTGTAATATAGTGTTAAAAACACAACAAATCGGAGTCATATTGTAGCCTAAATCCATTTTCAAAACAAGTTTTTAGAATGATGGTCACCATATCCATATTTCATTAAAATAACCAAGATCAACATTCTTAAAAAAAATCAATATCTTCACCACCATCATTACTATACACTTTGGCACCCAACACCACCATAAATATTATGTAAACCATAATATCACACCACATTTATTATCTTTATTTTTTTTTCTAATTCAAAACCAAAGCTGTTCTTAAGACCATGAAAACCTTGGTCCCAAAAGTGGTCTTTAATTTGAGGGAGACCTATAATGTTAATTTGATATTGATGATAATGATGATACTTATGATGATGATTACAATGATGAGGATGATAAAGATAATGCCATAGTGATGGTGGTAAAATTAATGATGATAATGGACTTTTCTGCTCCTTTCATATTTTAATTAAGGTCCCACAAAACAACAGTGTAAATGTGCAAAACATCTGCATTTGTGGGACACACATGTGATTGTTAGACCCATGCATATTGCTGGCATTGTTGTGATTGGTCAGTTTAGTTAAATTTGATTGACACTTTGGAAAGGTCCGTTATGATTATGGTGATTGTGATGATGACAAAATATTGATGGTTACATGACGATGATTATCATCAGAGGACAATGGTGATGATTAAACAGTAAAAGAATTCTCGCAAAGACCAACTCCATCATGAAAGACACATCTCACCCACTACAATGTCTACAACTGGCTGCCGTCTGGGAAAAGATTAAAATGCTGCAACTGTAGAACAAGTCGATTCCTTAAC